GGTCGGCCGGCGGTTGGCGGGCCTCGGTCGCCACTAGGCCTCGCCCGGCGGTTCATTGGGGCGTCAAATCCCGCCTGTCCCCACCTCGCAGCTCGGGTGGGGGTAAGGAGTATATTGCCCCATAATCCTAATCTGTCGTTTAGGACCCTAATCCCGTCCAAATCCGGCCTTCATTTAGGCCCCAAAATCCCATCCTAATCTGGTTTTCATTTAGGCCCTCTAATTACCGTCCTAATCTGGGCTTCATTTAGGGCTCTGTGCTTGATGTGGGATGTCCATTTAATTAGGATATATGGCAAAGTAATGAAATTCATTCTCCTTCTTGAGGATGTGTAATTTATTCACAGCGAGATTGTAAGGGGTCTAGATTAGCTTTGAAAAAGGAGCCCCGGCATAAGGAGTCAGGAGCCGGGAATAAACAACCCGCTTCATCCTTGTGGGCAAGGGGTGGCCATCGAAGAGGACAGTCTGGTTTTCTGCTACTCTGACCTCTGTTGATACAAAACTCTGAGGCAAGGGCGACTGGTGCCACTTCAGCAAGGGGGGCACGTCCCCTGTGCTGTAATCAGTCAGCAACCTGGGGGTGTCCCCCATGGCCAGTCTCCCCGACCAGGGGGCACAGCCAGTCTCTCCGACCGCAGCTGATCATGCCGACTGGGAAGCAGCTGTGGTGCTTCATCCAGCGCTCCCATTTCCCAGCCCAGCCGGTGCTCGCAGGGGGGACACGTGCTCCTGCCTGCCCGTTGCCTAAGCGGGGAGCATGGCCTGTCGGGGTGCACGTGCACCCCCTACGCGTCACCACTGCCCAAAGGCGGCGGGCTTCATATCAGTAGATGGAGGACAACCGGACTGTCCTCCATGATAGCCACCCTAGGGCAAGGGCCTTGCACAGCTCTAGGATCAATATTTTTGTCCCGGGATAAACTGGTGGGTTGTTTTTAGTCTGGGATCCCAGGGAAGAGCTGGGATGTGTTTGTTTGGGGGTCTGTGACACCAGTATTGCCAATTCTCATGATTTGGAGAGTTGTTTTTAAAGTTTACACTTTGGGAATGTAAACAACTTAACTCTTTTATACAGATACAGTATATGAATATATATAAAAGAAAGAAGGAGCTAAATTGTTCACATTCCTGAAGCGTAGACTTTAAGAGTCAAAATCATGAGAGTTGGCAATACTGCGACATGTACAGGTTGATTCGTAGATTCATAGATGCTAGGGTCGGAAGGGACCTCAATAGATCATCGAGTCCGACCCCCAAGCAAAAAAATGTTTCCCTGAGCTCTCGGCGCCTTCCTGCTTCTGAGGTAGGAGGTTTGGAGAAACCAGAGCTTGGATGTCTGGATGCAGTCCCTGCTCTCATTAGGCCTTCGTGTGGGGACAGCTCAGTACCGATGTGTAAACTCTTTAGAGCAGGGGCATTTTAGTTCTGTGTTTGGTACCTGAGAGGACTCTTGGGTCTTGAGTACAGATAAAATAATAATAGCCGGTTAGCTCCTCTGAACCCCGATTTTCCCATCTGTAAAACAGGTAGCAGTTTCCTGCCTCCCAGGCGTGCTCTTTAATTTATATTTGGATGAAAAGTGGTTGATAGTGTGTGACTATGTGCTAGTGGAAATGGCAGCGGCTGCTTTGAGAGGTTAGCACTGGCTGCTGCTGATCTGTCATACCTGGTTGAAGTACTTCAGCCTTTTGTGGACAGCCTTTTGGGGCTCTTCCTGGCTGCTGAGTTGAGTGTGGGTCTCTACTATTGTAGCCTACCATAGAAAGCAGCTTTTTGGAAAATGGCCTGCTGTTTGAGTAGCTCCCACCTGCCTCTAACAACTTCCCAAGCCAAAGAGGGTGAAAGTGAGAGGATTCTTCAGTTTCACTGCTGTACCTGACTTCTGAATGGTCATGAAGGAAATGAATAGAGTTCTGTGCATTTCATTCTCTTGAGCAAGTAGCACAAGTCGGGCTGCAGTCTTGGACAGGTCAGGCTGCGTCCTGTTACAGGCGCTTCACAGTGGGTGCATCTACATGTGCGCTTTACCATGGAGCTGACTGATTATTAGCTTTGCAGTAAAGTGTCACTGTCTACAGGTGTGCCTGTGTTAGGGTGCAGTAAATTAGTAACTCCACTCTAGGATAGTACTGTCCAGGACAAGTACTATCCTACTTCAGAGTAGTTGCATGCACTGAAATGCACATGTAGGCAGTGACTGGGGCTGGCTGGAGCATGAGGGTACTACAGTGGGGGGGGCTGCCTGCCAGTTAGCCCCATACTGTAGCACTCTCGTGCCCCAGCCGGCCCCTCCACTGCACGTTGAGCTACGGTGAAGCACTGTGGGCTGCCAGGCTGACCCTCCAGGTCCATTGCCAGCTGGGGCTGCTCTGGCCCAGCTCAGCATGCTGGGATCTTGGGTGCACATGTAAACGCTGTGCCTGGAGGCAAACTCCAGTGTGAACTGCACTGGAGTTTATCATTATGTGCTAAGTGCACGTGTAAATGCACCCAATTAGTAGTTACCTTTACTACTCTTATATTTTGCTTTTACTGAAAGTAAGTTTAAATTATTTACCATTTGATGATTTAGGCTTCAGTGTTTGCTAGTCAAATCAAACCTTCCTTTTAGCTACTGCCAAATAGATTTTTTTTTCAAGTCTGGATAATGAGTCTACCCTAAAACGGGTTGTGTGCGTTGTTCTCACTTCCACACTCTAAACATAGTGTTTGGAGATTTTACTTCTCTCCCCATAAGTGTTTATATGGGATGTTTTTGGCTGGGTAGGGCTCCTTACAAATTTCCTTGAATGAACTTTTAGGAGGGATATTTGGATTATGAGACTGCAAGTCCTAAGCGGTCCTGATTGAACGATAGTTGACCACTGATTTACCAGCCAGTGCCAGGATATCAAAGAGAATACACACTCATGAACCAAAACATGTAATTGGGTTTGAATAGACTCTCTCACTTTTTCTAGGAAGGGCAGGTCTCAGGCAACTGTATAAGGCTAAAAAGGGCATCATGCAGCCCATTCCTCAGTAGAGGAATTCGCCTGAGAAACCTGTCTCTGTGTCTGTATAGCTCATGGAGTTTCCAGAGGCTTCACAGACCAACAGAGGCAAATATGGGCTGACTGAAACTTTATTACTATACAAAATACTGGGCAGACTTTAAATAACGTGTTGCTGACCCCTCCAACTTTTTCCCTGAGAAATTTCCCAAATACTTATAATTTAGAAGGATTTTCATGCTGTTTTTCATTTATCCTCATCATAAAACTATCTCGAGTCCAGCTTCTGCTCTGCTTTGGCTTCCAGCTTCTTTTGAAGTCCATCATAAAAACTTCCATCATAACATGCCTTAGTATAACATGCAAATACATTGGCCTCTAGAGCACCCTTACAGAGTGGATGTATTAATGTATATTATGTTTCTCTGCTGCCACTAGGATGGAAGATATAATGGAGTCTGCATTCCTTAAGCAATATAGGTCACCATATTAAAAAAAATACCCATTGTAAAGAATTCCATCAAACTTACAGCTTTGACTTTCCCTTGGCACGAATTTCAGTTGCTTTTTAATACAGAAAATTAAATTGTATGTGTTTATTTGGCTTTTGAAAGCTAGAATATTTCTGTTATACTTTTTGAAATACAAATAATTTTAAATCAGTGCTACCTCACGCAACTATAATATATGAATGATACTTCAAAGAAGCATTTTTTTAGTTCTTTTCTTCTTATGCTGGCACATCTGCAATGTGGAAATAATGGCACAGCCTAAAAAACCCCCTGTGCTTTGAATGATGTTATCCTAAGTCTTGTTAAATCAAAATGTTGCTTTACAAAGTGGAATCTGCGGGCTTGCCTAGCTTGTGAAGTAAAATACATTTTCCAACGCTTGTTTAATTTAAAATAAATGTGTAAGTTTCTTAGAGAATGATTTCATAAAGGGTTCCATAATTTTTCTAGTTGTTTTATATAGTGCTTTAAACTATTGTTTAAGATTTAAGAATGTGCTTAAAAAGTTGCAGTTGTCTCTGGGAAAAATAGTCTTAATTTATGTTGACCTTTCTTTCCTTTGAGTATTTAGTCCGCATTCAATAAAATTTTGATGACTGCTCTTTAGAAGACAGCTGTACGATATAAAGTATTATAAATATTCAGCTTTCTTCTCCTAGCATTGCCATTAACAGCTGGGCATCCAGTTCAGCAGAGCAGATTTTTCAGGGAGAGCTTGGCATGTTCCTGAATCAGTATTGTGAAGAAGACTAGAAAATAGTTTCTTATGGTTTGGGGACTTGTAAAGACATAGAGCATCTGTTCCCCAGTTAAGTCATAGTCTGGTAGCATTGAATCATGTTAAGAGCTAAAATGATGGGAAGAACTACTTTTTTCACCTTGGCTGTACGTGTGTTTAAATGCCTAATACATGGTTTCTACTAATGGCAAAATAATTTCAGCTTCTGCCCAGAAGGTATGTAAATAAAGTGTGCTTGCATTTGATTTTTTTTTTTTTTTTTAATTTTTGGTAGTTTGTGTGAAAGAGACAGATATTGTTTTTAATATAGAGTCCTGCATAATGTGTTCAGTGTCTTGACTTAACTGATTTATAAAATTCTAGTGCTATAAAATGGAGAGGTGGATTTTCTTTTTATACCAACAACTTAACATTCCAGCTTCCCAAAAAAACATTTTTGTCATACAACATTTGAATCAATTAATAAATATGCTTTGCATCAGAATGGTCTCCCTATTATAGTGTAGAAAACAATGCATTGATAAGTAGGGGGAAATAATTATTTTAAAATTACAGATTATGACATTGATAAAAATGTTTTATGTGAAGAATTGTAAAACTTCTCTATCTTTGTCTTGCAGAGCTAAGAGAGCACTGAAGTTAGAGAGCTATACAGGAGAAAATGTAAGTATTCAATTTTGCATTTGGAACTATTTAATAAAGTTATCTGGGATCTACATAAACACTATTTCATTTGGCTTGTTATTTTATAATAGATTGGATGACAGTCTACAAAAAGCTCATTAGAACAAGAAGTGATTGCTAAAAATCTTTGGAATGAAATTATTGTTGTTTTTCATATACATTGCCTGACTTTAAGTGAAGTATCTATCTGCCTGAAGCAATTGAGTGTAACAGATAAATATGCATATTTTTGGTCACCTTCACTGCTTAACCAAGACCTGAATGAGTTAGGAGCCTTGGTGAAATCATTTATTAGAAATTAGCTCCATAATAGTGGAATCAAATGTTCTGCCATCTAACTGTACATGTAACAATATGGAATTATGATAATGCTATAATCTGCATATTATAAACTGCAAAATTGAAATGAAAACATTAAAGGCATTTTTATGTCAAGGATATAATTACCTCCCTCAGCTAATCTGGCATAATGAAACAATAAAATACTAACACTGCAATAAATTTCACCACAGTTATCACAATAAAAATAAAATTGTACTGTTGCTATTATTTTTTGTAAATGTGGCCATAGTATATTCCCAGTGCCAGCATGTCATGACATATGTCAGTTTATTATCTGCCCCTACCAACAGTGGGTGTTGCTACAAGCACTAACATAGAAGAGTTCATGAGGATGGTAGCATTAGAGGAAAAGAAAATTTGTCGAGAAGTATATTAAGACAAATAGCTGGTCAGTAAATGAGCCTCCAGTAAATCTCCACATGGCTGTGTCATTTTGGAGAGATTGGTTTATATGCAACACATATTTAGAAGTCTCAATGGTATTTAGCGAAATAGAAACTTGCAATTTTAAAAATTTGCTGGATACTTTTTTATTTAAACAAAGGTGGCAAAATACCGCAGTGGCACTAAAAATATCATTAGCAATTTAATTAGCAGTTTAGTGTACCATTACCCAACTTGTTCTGCTCAGAATGCAGCTGTGACTGTAATTTTGCATCTGTTTCTTTGGTCAGAGTCACATTTTTGTAGTTGAGTGGTTCAGTCTGAAATTAAAGGCAGTCCTTTTTTGCCTAAATCCATCTCTCTTGGCTCCTATCTTAAAAAAGAAAAAAAAAGTATTTGAACAGAAAGGAAGTGCATTTCCACCCAAACTGTTTACAGCAACATAATTGCAGCACAATACTTTGTTTATATCAGCTTTTCAGAATATTATGGGTTAAAATTTTAATTGAAATCATTTTGTATTTAGGGATTTCAGTTGTAATGTAGGTATCTCAGTTGTAATATATAATCATGTAATGCCTCTTCTACGTGCATCTCAAAGACTTTAAGTTGAATATAAATAATGAAAGGTAAGAGAGAACACAAGCCTAAGATAATATGAAGGTACAGTGACATGTCTGTGTCAGTTGTATCCTGTCTCTTGATACTACTGCTGCTATTTCCATATTACTCAGGATCACCCTCCTCTGCATTACATCCTCAGTTTTTGCCAGTATCCCCTCATCTGAATTGCCAGTATCCCCTCATCTTTGCTTCTGGATTTAAAGGTTACAAGCCTTTTTATATTAGTACTAGTGAATTGCCCGTCAAAAATTATAGGAGGGAGGGGCAGGCAGGAATGGAGGGAGGGGAGAAGCTTGCTAACCCTAACTCACCCGCCCCCAGACCCCTGCGCTGCCACCTCCCAGGAGCAGGGAGCGGGGGGAAGCTAGCCCTGCTGTCCCCTCCATCCCCCTCCGCCAGCACCCTGCACTGCCGCTGCCTCCAAGGAGCAAGGTGGGTGGGGGAGCAGGGCGAGGCCAGAGGCACTGGCCTTACCCCTCGCTCTGATCCCTTTGTCCCCTCCATCATGGTGGTGGTCTGCTGCGCTGCATCCTCCTGTCCGTAATGCTCTTGGAGCACTCTGATTGGTTGTTTCAGTAAAGCCGCCTCCTGTCCGTATTGATCTTGGAGCACTCTGATTGGTTGTTTCAGTAACCAGTCAGGGTGCTCCAAGAGCGTTATGGACAGACAGACAGGCAGGCTAAGACCTTTATTATATTAGAATGACATCACAACTATTTGCACAATGTTTTTAGTTGACCCGGATGCTTTTTCTCTGAAAAGGATCTCTAAGTGCCACAGAGATTGTGTGTTCTTATTGTATGCTATAATAAATCCTTTTCAAGGTAGATGCTCAAAAGGAATCTTATTTTATATAGAGAAAAATATGGTGGTTGCAGTGATAGGCATTTAAGCTTATAAAGATGGGGGGCCTTGAAGCTTCAGTAGAGACACAGCAAAGCAGAGTTTATATAGGTTAAATGTTTCATTGGTAACTTAGTAATTAACATTCATTTTAAAAACTGGCTATATTGGGCTCAATCCAGCTAAATGCGGCAAAGGGTCCACAAGGTTTCTGTCTAGGACAGTTGTTCAAAACATTAAGGTATAGGGAAAATGAGTGACCAGATAACCTAAAATCATTAGGTTTTGCAGGCTATAGAGAAGACTGAGTACTTTTAGAAAGGTATGAGAAAGCTAGCTAGATGGATACATAGCAAATGAAAATTTGCCATTTATAAATGTAAATATATGTATAAACACGTATTGGAAGGATTAATTTGATGAAGTCATACATATTGCTACTGACTAAATTCACATTAACCACTCAAGAAAAATTCCTGTGTATCACTCAGTGAAAACTTCAGAACCAAATGCAGTAATCAAAGAACAAAACAAATGTGTGTTATCTAAAGAGCCTCTGAAATGGAAGCAAACAGATACGGAATGTTATTACTAGGCTAGTCTTGAATCCATGTCTTCTGCTCAGTTTCATCTTCTAACTTTATAGCCCTTTGCTCCTTGGTTCAGTAATATATTGTTGTATGTCTATTAAATATCATGTGTGTTACTTAAGACTTAAAATTTGGTCAGAGGCAAAAACAGGTGATTGCTAAACCAGATGATAGTGTTAGGGAAGAAGGGTTAGATCACCCTAAGGACAGAATACAGGGTGAAATCCTGGTGCCATAGAAGTCAATGGATGTCTTTCTCTTAAGTGTTATAGGAGTCTGATGGTTTCTTCATGGGTTTCCATTTTGGGATGTCATAAAATTATAGAAAAAGTGGGTTGGTAGGGACTGCAGGAGTCATCTGATGGTTAAAAAAATGGGAAATTTTGAGTAGAACAAAAGTTTAAAAACAGCAATGAATCCTGGTTAGAAAGGTGAGCATGTCACAATAATGTCAGCTTACCTCCACTTTCAATTCTGTAGAACAAGGCTGTTCAGCTGGCATCCTGTAGGCTACATCCAGCCTGCAAAGGGATTAAAGCAGGGCGGGCAATTATTTTGGGCAGAGGGCCACTTACCAAGTTTTGGCAAGTTGTCAAGGGCCGCAAGGGTAGCCCCGCCCCTTGACAGGTGTCCCACCCCCTGGTTGCCATCTTGTGACCAGAAGTCCCACCTCCTAACCCCTGACCTTTGTCACCAGAAGTCCCTCCCCTTGGCCCCAGAAGTACTCCTTTCAGCAAAGGGTTTTGCCATCTCAGAACCAGAAAAATACCAAATTATATTCTAAAAAGCGATCATCTACAATATTCATTAATTTGATTTCAAAAATATTTTTGTCCTGATTTACATGCATTTGTGTAATGTATGCAGAGGTGACTGCACAATAGCTTAAAATTAAGTCTTATTCTTGTATATTGTGGGGGGTGGGTGTGGGTGTGTGGGTATGTGGGGTGTGGGCGGGTATGGTGGGAGGGTAGCTGGGGGTTGTGTATGGCAGTGCGAGGGGAGGCGTAGGTGCACATGTATGGAGGGGGGGGTGTGCGTGGAATTTACCCTATGAATACACGCACATTCTGCCTCTGTGCCTGCGCGCGCACACACACACACACTGCCCCTGTGCCTTCACGCTGCCCCTGTGCCTTCACGCGCGCACACACACGCTCTAACCGTGCCTGCCAAGATGCGTGCACACATACATACACACCCCTACCAGCGTGGTCCCATGCTCCGCGGTCCGGGGATGCAGCCAGGAGCCGCAGCCAGGAGCCACAGCCACCTGGTGCTGGAGCAGTGCGGGGGGGCGGGGGCGGGAAAGCAGAGAACTGGCTGGGGGTGGGCCGGGCTGGGCTGATCAAGCCTGCTGAGGGCTCCCTCTGGGTCCTACTGCCCATATCTCCAGCCAACTTTGACAGGGAGCCGGGGCAAATAAATATTAATTTACTAAATTTTTTAGGGGCTCTGCGGTCTGGATAGAATGGCCTGGTGGACTGAATCCCGCCTGTGGGCCGGATTTCCGCCCCTGGGTTAAAGTGTGGCTTGTGGGCTCCTGCCAGGCTGCTACTCCTGTGCTCCTGCAGCAGCCAGAGTCATTGGGGCAGGGCAGCATGGCAGAAGGCGGCCCAGTAAGTTTGCTGCCTGCACAGGTAGGGGATGAGGCTTGCTTGTGTAGCAGCAGGAGGGCTTGCACTGCTCCCCCAGGCAAGCAGCATGAGAAAAGAGGGGGAGGGGGTGGAGACTGGGGACAGTGTCTGCACTGTGGCAGCAGCTGAAGGGCTTACCCTGTTTGCATGAAGGGCTTGAATGAAGGATGCCTGCCATAGATTTGGGAAGTAACTGAAGTAGTGGGGGCCATGTGTCCTGGTGTGGCCCAGGCACTCCAGGATTCTGGAGCCCGGTCCCGGCCGATTAGTCATAAATCCCGGGCTGGAGCAGGGGGGTGGGAGCGGCATGGTGCACCAGACAGATGGCTGGACAGGCACCACTGTTCCTGTGCAGGAGCAAGGATGTGCCACATGTGAGTGGCATGGTGCCTGCTCCAGTCAACTCACCTTGCTCCCAACTAGAAGCAACGGTGCCTTCCTGGCTGCCTGCCTGGCACACCATGCTGCTCCACCTCCCCACCAGACTCCAGCTTGGGATTTTTAACCAACTGTCTGGGGCTGAGCTACAGAATCTCAGAACCAGGACACATGGCCACCCTAATCCAAAGTCCCAGACTGATAGGTCTGGGAGGGAGGAGACTTGCCTGGTGGTAGTCACACAGACTTGAACAATTATGCTCAGCTCAGTTGATTTGGAATTAGGAACTAATTCAGCCTTAAGCCAAAAAAAATTGCTTACGTGGCAAGGGAACTGTGTGTGGCTGGTGGTTCTTTGATCCGCAGCTTACGTGGCAAGGGAACTGTGTGTGGCTGGGGGTTCTTTGATCCGTGGCCTGTGCAATGTGTGGCCCAGGGCCTGTGGCGCATGTAGCATATGGCCCCTGGTCACTCTGAAGTTGGACAGCCCTGCTGTGAAAAAATAAAACTAATTTTTAAGGCTGAATGTTCAGAAGAGTCTAAATTTGGAACCTGCTGTAAGTACTCCACATGTCTGGTTTGCATATGAAGACTGAACAGTTAAATATGTAACACCTTAATGTTCATGTACAAATAATTTTGTATACACATTTGGGTAATTCATAAACAGGGTGCTCAAATTAGGAAAATTCTGAAAATGTGGCTTATATGACTTGATTAAGTTTAATAAACCAGCTTGTTTTCAGGAACTGCACTGGCTGGCTCCTGGAGCACTGCGTAGTCCACCTCACAGGAAGGGTGGAGGCTAGAATGTGAACTATTGAGGATAAAAATAAGTAAGGAGGCATTGGAATTGTCGTAGGTTGAAATAGTCTGTTCCCATGTGCCAACATTTATTCAGCTGCTTTGTTTCCATCTGTTTAGGTACACAGAGTAACACCTTTGAAGACGGGAAAGAAAAACCTAAACATGTATTCACCACTGACAGGAACATGCCAAATTGGTCCGTTTTCATCTCCCACGAGTCATAATGTACAAAAGCTCAGAAATGGTCCATCAAATGGTTAGTTGAACATTCTCTCTTACTTACTGAAGTATGTTTCTGGTTATTGGCTAAATCAAGTTCTTGATTTAGTAACTTATGTCTCATGCGGTATGTCTGATTTCTATTTTCTTATAAGGATTTTAGGCCTTTATTGTGAAACCCAACATCTTTTTGCTTTCTGATTACATAAATGTAAACTTTGGGTTAATTGTTATCCCTCCTGTAGTAGGCTTTACCTTATTTTAATACTGAAACTGTAAATTTTTGTTTTGTACTGGACCAAATTCAGCACTAACAGTACTAAGGTATATATGTATCTTCTAACTCTGCTCAAGCTAAACCTAATGTTGGCAATGACTGTTACCCATACTTTTTCTCCAACTTCAGCTTTCATTTACAGAGGTGGTATATACAACCATCAGTCACATTAGCCTTGAATTCAAGGGAGCAAACATTTTGGAGTGGCAGTATACTACTGAGATTGTTATGAAGGAAAGTGCTGAGGGACTTATGGGTTGGAAACACTGAAGGGAGGGCCTATCAATTGGTAGTTCAGGACCATCCTACAATTAGACATGGCCATAAAAAAGCTTAATCTTGGATATACGTTAGCCAAGACAGGTGCTAGTGGAGACAGGAAAGTATTAGTACCATTGTACCAGGTATTAGTAAGACCTTGTTTAAAATACTGTATACAGTTCTGATCACCTAAATTCAAAATAGGTTAATTTAAATGGGAACAGGTGCAGAGAAGGGCTTCTAGGAAAATTAAAAGAATGGCGAGCCTGTCTTATGAGAAGAGATTAAAGATTTGGACTTATTTAGTTTAGTAAAAGGGCGATGTGATTATTCTTTTAAAATATTTTTGAGACGGTTAATACCTGGGAGGAAGAGGAACTATTTATATTAAAAGATGATACTAGTATAAGATCAAATGGTTTTAAATGTAGAGTGGAAATTAGAGCAAAGTGATGAAGTTTTAGAATGGCCTTACAAGCAAGGCAGTGAAGACAAAGGACCTTAAATAATTTCAAGATGTAGGTAATAAAATCATGGAAGGGCTAGTAGAACAGGATTGGTGTTGGAGCTGGTAATTCAAGCTTGAACATGTTAGGTTTCTGTACACCAGGATTGTTTTGAGGTAAGTATGATACCTTTTCAAGAATGTGCTTTAGTGTGGTTTAGCTCTCATGAAAGCCCTTAATTTGTGTGTGCAGATAGTATGATAAAATAAGAGAGTCCTCCCTTTGTTCTTTTTTTTCCACAAACTTTTAACATGCCTGTAATACTTGTAGCACTATAATGTGTTGTATTATTTATATCATATTTTATTAATTTATCCCATGCTTCAGGGCTTCTGATGGTTTCCTTACAGGCCATGAAGAAATTTTTCTTCCTGTATAATTTGGTGTAGGGGCAGAGGTTGTCTTGGTCTGACGCCCTGAACATTGGCTACAGCTTGAAATGGAAGTTTGGGTAAAGTGTGCTGGTCATCCTAGTGATTTCGAGAAACCTCTTGGTTGCTTTACTGATGGATCTTGCTCATGTGTGTAGGATCAACCCAATTTCTAGATCTGGGATTAGGAAAGGCATATTAAGACTGTTTCAGTTATGTTAATACAATGTCCAAATATCAATAGCTATCAAAAGATAAGTAGACTTGCACCAAGCAGGCTTAGATGATTCAGTATTTGAAATTCAAACAGATGTTCAGAGATCTGTCTGTACTAGCGCTCACACTACTGTTACGATAGATAAAGTGGTATTGACAGGGAATTTTTTTTAAAAAAGAATCTTTGTGTAGAGCACAATCAAGAAATGTTAGGCTAGGGAATAGAGGTGCACTGATACATCAGTCCCATATCAGATTGGCACTGATATGAGGAAAATAGAGAGTATTGGCAATTGGCTTTTTTTTGTCTGATGTGGCCAATAAATGCTGCATGCATGTGCACAGCTGTAGCATACACGGGGCCAGCAGTTCAGCCTGGAAGTGTGGATAGCAATCAGGTCTGACTAGTAAGTCTGTTGTGTGAGAAGGGGCAAGGGGGGATGGAAGGGGCATGGTGGGGCAAATCCAGGCCCCTGCAGTGAGGGAAGGAGGGAGTGGGGCTGAGGCTGGGGCAGGTGCTGCCCGGGCAGGGCATGGGACAGAACCGCGGCTCATCCGGGGGGCTCAGGGTGAGGGAAACTCCCACCACTACGCACACCCTGGCAGGGCATGAGGGGGTGTGTTCCCCCGGATCTGCATGCGAGGCAGGGCATGCTGCCATTGTGGGCTGGAGCTGGGGTAGTACTAGGCTCTTTGCGGCAGGGGGCTGGACTGGGCTGTGCTTGGGGTGGGTGGGAGCAGTGCTGGGAGCAGGGGCTGGGGGAAGTTGCAACCATCCCACAGTTCACTGTAGCCCCCACTCCCAGTGCCGCCACCACCTCCTGCCTTGAGCACAGCCCAGCCCAGCCCCTGCTGAGAATAGCCCAGTGCTGGTCCCAGCCCACAGTGGCAGGCCGCCCTGACCTTGCATGCAGATCTGGGGGCACATGCCCCACACCCTCCTGGGGTGCATGCAGCAGTGGGAACTGCCCCCTCCCCCTGCCCTCACTCCCCAGACAAGCTGTGGCTCTGTCCCGTTCCCCACCCTGCCTCAGCTGGGCAACGCCTGCCCCAGCCCCACTCCTTCCTCCCCTCACCGTGGGAGCCTTGATCTGCCCCTGCCCCCCTTGCCCCTTCTCTCCCCCTGCCCCTTCCACCACAACAGACTTATCAGCCGGATGCTGCTCTCCACTCTGCTGGGCTGCATATCGGAATTGGATCAGTATCGGCCTATATGACTCGTTAAAAATCAGCCGTTGGTATCGGCCCAAAAAATCTCTATCGGTACACCCCTACTAAGAAATGTTAGAAAGAAATGTTCAAGGTCAGCTCTTCTCAAGTATGTGAGATTACAAGTCTTCGTGAACTTCCTTTTCAATTACTTGGTATAGGAGAAAATCAGACAAGCACAAGTAGTTTAGGTGGGCCCGGTTTATTTTTCCACTCTCCTTCTGGTTTTTCTCACCGGTCAGATGCTGATTTTTTTTTTTCCTGTAGCTCCTCCTCTTAGCTTGCTCAGTACAGCATTGGACTGACAGCTTGGCTTTTCCAGTTGTCCTTTTGCTTTGGTGGAAGCAGCTAAAACTGACATCATTCAAGAACCTGAGAATGAAACAGGAAAATGAAGGAAACATTCTTCCAGAAAAAGTAATAGAAGAAGAGTCAAAAAAGCATGTTTTCTTGTATCTTTCATTGTCTGGATCCCTTCTACCTGGGGGATCTCATCCTTCCCGTCCTTTCCTCTGCATTATGGTGCTGGATGGCTGCAGAAGAGGTCAGAGCTGTGACAGGTGTGGGTCTTAACTGGGCGATTGTGCACTGCTTCTCATTTTAGTGGTAATGGCTCTGAATCTAAAAGGATGTTTCCATTTACATCTTTATTTTTAAACCTTGTTGTCTTGCTTTTGGTCCTTGTTTCTGGACAGCTGCTCTTCCAATTCAGTGTTTTGCCCTTCAGGCTGGCATTGATCCCAAAGACCTTGACGAAAATGACTATGACAAGGCACTAACATTCCAGGAAGGCTCTATTTTCTCCCCCTTGGTGGAGAAATGCCAAGATTGTCTAATTTCTTCTCTCCAAGTAGTGAAAGCATCTCCATATTATCCATACAGGTCTCAAGCCATGAAAGTTTTCCTGTGTCAGGACTTCATGCCTCCACAGAACTACACATGCCATCTTCTGCACATTGCAAGGATTGATACTCATCAGCCTGTTATAAACAGCAGTGTCTTCTTGAGAATAAAATCTCCATTTGTGTGTATCCTCAGGTGTCAGTCTTGAAACAAGAGTGCCTGAGCTGGAAGGCTTTCTGTGGAAGAATAATTGCATCACTGAGAAGTCGTCAACCAAATAGCCAACACTTGCTGATCTATATGATCACTGTCAGTTGAGATTCAACCCCCCTAGTTCCCAAATACTGAAAGCCAATACTTAGACTTCAGGAGTATAGGATAACTTCCTCGTGTTCTTTGCAAAGGTTGTCACCTGTGCCTTCCTTATCTCCTCTAAAAGGGCAAGTTTTGAACAAGACCAAGTAACTGGTTTCATAGATTTCATAGATTTTAGATTTCATAGACATCAGGGCTGGAAGGGACCTCGGAAGATCATCGAGTCCAGCCCCCCGCCCAAAGGGCAGGAAGTCAGCTGGGGTCATAGGATCCCAGCAAGATAAGCATCCAGCTTCATCTTGAAGGTGTTCAATGAAGGCGCTTGAACCACCTCCGGTGGCAGGCTGTTCCAGACCTTGGGGGCTCGGACAGTAAAGAAGTTCTTCCTTATGTCCAGCCTGAAACGATCTTGAAGTAGTTTGTGACCATTCGACCTCGTCATCCCTTGGGGCGCTCTGGTGAACAAATGTTCCCCCAGATGCTGGTGGTCACCCTTGATTAACTTGTAGGTGGCCATCAGATCACCCCTGAGCCTGCGCTTTTTCAGGCTAAAGAGCCCCAGGGCACTCAGCCTGTCATCGTAGGGTCTGCTTCCCTGACCTCTGATCATGCGCGTGGCTCTTCTCTGGACTCTCTCAAGCTTCTCCACATCCTTTTTGAATTGTGGAGCCCAAAACTGGACACAGTACTCCAGCTGCGGCCTCACTGAGGCCGAGTACAGGGGGAGAATGACGTCCCGGGATTTGCTTGAGAAGCAACTATGGATGCAAAAACCAAAGCCTAGAAGTTATAGGCTTAGTTTTGGGGGCTTCACTTCACTTCACAGGATCATTTCCAAATATACAGCACACAAGAATGTTGAGCTAATACTATGGCTCAGTGAGATGCATGTTCAGATATTTTAGACACCCATTTCCTCCATGAGGGCTGATTGTGATCTTGCATCATGATCATACTTGGGCCAGCCCAGTGCTTTACAGTGGTGTAACTCAAATCAGAAAATCAGAATCAGGCTTGTTCTCACATTCCAAGGTGCCCA